TACACGCCACCAATCACAAGATATACCCAGCATTCATTCATTACATTCACGTGAAGATGATGAATTTATTGATTATGAGGGGGACTGTGATAGTGACAACCCCCTAGATGATAAGTGATAAAAATAGTGATTATGTAGTAGGTGAAGATTATTCTAAGAATGAGGAAAGCAGTGATGATGAACATGTGGGGCCCTCTGCCACCACCTTCTATTTATGTTATTTGAATTATTGCATTTTGAAAATGAATTTATTCAGTTTATATATATAGTTTTAAGGATTAAACTAATGGTTGCATGTAAAATATGCTGGAAGACAGCGTATGAAGCACATCAGAAGTGAAGGGAGAAGATGTGGCAGCAGCGGAGGTGGGGAAGCCCCGGTCTGGCAACCTAGCGGGGAGATTTGAAAATGGCTCACTGATCCCTTTAAATATTTTCATTGTGTTTCTTGGTTGATTTGGGGTTGTTTGGGCTAAGAAAAAAAAAATCTATCCTCTGGGGGTACCCTATATGTAAACTAATATAACACAGTGAGTTAAGCATTATGGCCGTCTACTAACTCTCCCTGAAAATATATTCATAACAGAAAGAAATGGGATTTTGGGTCCCATACTTCTGTCTTCTAGAAAGCTGATTTTTCAAAATTTTCCTGAAGATGATTTAGCGCTCAGCTTTCCAAATTTGAAAGATAGTTATACTATCAAGTGTATTAGAGATTATTATACCTTTTTACTGAAATAGGGGGGAAATCTATGCATAGAAAAGATTGTGAAAAACATCATTTAAATTTTTTGATAAAGAGGATATAAAAATGTAGTAGTATTTCTGCAGCTGACAGAATTTATACCCCAGGTTAACTGTCCACATGTTTTTCAAAATCCAGGCATTTGGCTTATTTGATGGGCATCTCTCCCAGGTGTGTGGCTTGTTGGCTTGGCCCACATGAACACTCTATTGCAGTATGAAGACAACTTGGTTCCACTTTGCAATGTTATGATATCCTTTCCAGCTAAAGCATTTTTGCTCTTGCTATTTACCAAGATCTATTATTGTCATTTGATATGCTATGTCAAGATGGTACTAGACCTTCATTTCACAGACTGTATATCATCTCTCTCTCTTTGCAATATCAAAAACAGTTATCAACATTTTATTATTTGTGCCATTTTTATATATTTTTATATTCAACTTTTCTTTAACACAACCTGCTCCTCCGATCATAGCTCACAAATGGTGTATTCCACCTTCATTAACCAGTGGAATTGATGCAAGAGCCACTTCTTAAATGCCCACTGAGTCTTATCTTCAATCAAACTGGCCATCAGCCCAAGTTTTCGTAACAGCATATTCCTATCACCCCAACCTGCAACCAATATTTTTCATGACAAGTTGCTCGCATCACCTGGATTCAGCGGGTTGATTGTTTTGCTGTCCTTTATGGTGCCTGATAACTTTACTATAGTCCTCTATTGCACCCCTCCCCCCTCCACTCCAGAAGAGTTGTTTTGTGGAAAGTCCTGTGAATTTTTCTAATCGGATTATTGTCATAGATAGTGTGATATCACAAAAGCTAAGGAATACTGCCAAAAATTGCATTCCAAACTAATAGGGATGGGTAGGTAAGATCTTTCATGCTGGTTGCCCCTGAAGGTTAAGCAACAAGGTGGGAGGGTTATGGAAGGGGTTCAGAAGAGGATGTAGAGGTAGGCATATGTCTGTTTGTTTGTTTTTTATTTGTTTTTGATTTTTTATATCCCCCCCCCCCCCCATTTTTCTATACATATCCTTTGATTAACCATTTGGTACAGCCAAGCATTTACTGTTTATTGCAAAATATACAGACTGATTGATGATACCAGTTGGTCACATGTAAATGATAATAATAGTAATAAGAGAGAGACAGACAGACAGACACCCTGAGTGACATCCAAATTTCATATTAGAAATAAAGCTTCTTCACTCAAAACCAACATTTTATCTTTGGCCAATTTCACAACATCATTTACCCTATATTTTTTCAACACGCAGTGCTTGGGCAACATATTCATACTTTGATACACAGGATTCTCATTGTTTATTGGCCCATTATCTGTCATTTCACTCATTTCATTACTGACATCTATGTCCACAAACAAATAGGAAACTAGTAAGAAACAAAAAATGAAAGAGCTATACTGTAAAATTAGATAAAGATATAATAAGAACACCAAAAAAGCAGAATAAGTAAATGTGTATGTCTCCCCAAAATTGAAAGTTCCTTAGTACTGGAAACGAGAACTTCAGTATATGTGAACAATACTTGTATCTTTTACTCAAAACAGCTGCATTAGTCTGATATGCCCCTTGAACTCATTAGGGAAAAATGGTTGATGCAAACTCATCTAAAGCTAAACATCAAGACGTTTTGTTGACACTAGAAAAGATGGAGATAAGCAAAAGGAATAAAAGTGGCAAACATGCATCTGATATTAGGTGCTTAATGGGAACTTTGGGTCTTTTTTTATTTAATTTTTTTATTTTTTATTTTTTATTTCTCTCTCTCTCTCTCTCTCTCTCTCTCTCTCTCTCTCTCTCTCTCTCTCTCTCTCTCTCTCTCTCTCTCTCTCTCTCTCTCTCTTTTTCTTTCTTTCTTTCTGTCTTTCTTTCTTCCTTTCTTTCTTTCTTTTTTATGGAATATTCAAGAAAATTCTTCGCCATCCTGACAACCTTCAAGGTCTTGGCATTTTTTTTATAGAGAAATAAAGGAAAAATTAACATGCTTTAAGGGGACCGTCCCAGATGGAGGGGGGAGAAGGGGGTCAAATTGAGTTAGCTAGCGTATAGTATAGGTACATTGTCTTACAGCCGACACAAGATCCCTCAGCACCCGGAGAGGTACGTCGCTAAAAGCGCCCAGGTACACCTATGTGGACTTCTGCTTGCGGCAATCGTGCATACGGCATTTAATTATGACATTGCGCATAGACATGAGTTCGTGAATCTTCAAGGAACAATTTTATACCAATATCAGGAAAAAATTATATCACCGTGATTTATGACGAAATATTTTGTGAAATATATCTAAAAAATGTAGTTTTGTGTCCTTTTACACACGAAATATGCTTTGATCGAGACTCCCTGGTAATATGTTTTAGTTTACGTGGTAATATATACGTATATCACATACGAAGCACTAATGTTTAAAAATAGCCTTATAAGGAAGGATTGAAATATTTCCGTTACATTTCGCTCAACGGTCGGTACATCACAGCAGGGGGCAATTTGAATTGATTTGAAATTGGTAGTTACCGTTGTAAAGACCAATTCAATACGAATGTTACCTAAATGTCAGATTTTTAAACTTCGGATGTATAAGCGAGATACAGATTATTTCATATTGAAGATGATAGTACTCAGTAATACCTGCTCTGAAATAAAAACTATATGGAATTTTGAGCTCAGTTGTATGTGTAGTCTTCGTCTGGCGTTCAAAAAGCTATCGCATCCGTTTCGTGCGTTCCCGATAAAAATGAATATGTTTAGACGTTACCGTAAGTCTTAGGCACCATAAATTGGCAAATATCCCACAACACCTAGGCGTCTGCATGATTTTATGCACTTCTTAGTAAAGATAATGGGTGCAAATGGCTAATCATAAACTCTACACTTGTTCTCCTTTGCAATCTGGTAATATTGACAATTATCAAAGAAAATGGTATGAGAGGGATAACTAATATATTTTATTATTTAGATATGAAAGTCAATGTAGGCCTACTAAATGATGATGATTATTCTTTTTAACTTTATATGTGTGCGTTCACGTACATATGATCATCCTCGAAAATTATAAACACCCAGTTACCATATCTCTCTCTCTCTCTCTCTCTCTCTCTCTCTCTCTCTCTCTCTCTCTCTCTCTCTCTCTCTCTCTCTCTCTCTCTCTCTCTCTCTCTCTCTCTCTTCAAAATAAAAAAGGATAATAAAAATAAAATGAAAAATATAAAAAATTAGACAATTTAAAAAAACTTTTTTATCTGGTTTAGATTAGTTGTCTCTATGGTAAAATGCATTTATTAAACGTTTCAGATGAAAATATCTACTTTTATGAACAATGAACTAAACAAATTTACATACCTTTACAGAATAGTGTCCCTATTGAAAGTGAAAATTCCTATTGACTTGGTAATCATTGCATTGCAAAGTACACTAAATAAGCATTTTTTTTTTTTTTTTTTATATATAATATCATTAGATTCAGAGAAAAATAACAGAGATAATGAACTTTGGCAAGGTGCCCAATACAATATGCTGTAGCTCCGTTATTTTTTATTGAACCTTCGGTACATCCCAACTCTCGTAATTTTCATGAGATTCAAATGCAGTTTGTTGCTTTCACTAGAGCCTCGGCGTCCCAAGGCCGTGTAAATGGCCAATTTTTTTATTATTGCCTTAATCAAAAAATTATATATTAATGCTGGAAAAAAAAATCAAAAATAGTTCTCTATATCAAGCTGTCCCCTGCCAAAAAAGAAAAAAAAAAAAAAAAAAAAAAAAAAAAAAAAAAAAAAAAAAGGAAATTCAAAAATCAGCCATTTACATGGCCTTAGGCTAGGGTTGATCTAACACAAGTATTTTTGGGGGAATATTCAGTAAAGAACTGTGACAGTTGGAATGTACTAAAGGTTAGACAAAAAAAAAAAAAAAAAAAAAAAAAAAACGATTTTTTCGACCTTTTTGGGGCAAGGTTAAAATTATATATGAAACGAAGCGCAATTCTATACTATATATCATGCAAAAAGAATCAATCAGTTATCTCTAACCGATATATTTTTATGATGTAAAGAGTAGGGAAAGGTGGCCATTCTCCGGGACGGTCCCCTTAAGTAATTTAGTGATCCCTTCCACCAGTACACACACATAATAGGTTGACAATCTCATATCCAAACATCAGAAAACAGTTATTTTCAGTGTGTAGTTTAGGCTACCTGCTTGACATACTTTTTTCTTACTTATCCCTCCATTTCATTTATCAGTATATTACTCTGTCAATAAACTGTAGTAATATTTCTCATCTATTTTTATATCTGAAATTGGAGTGTCCATGTGTGCAAGTGCATTTGTGCATGTATATATCTGGTCACCTTAACTTTGTTTTATTTATTATTTGCTATTTGTATTATAAAGAGTAAGATCATGATGAAAATTCAACTCACACTACAGCATTCTGACTTTTGACAGAACAATGAGCCGTCCATCATCACGACACCACCAGAGGCTGCTTGGAGGAAGTCGACGAATGGTCATGATCCTTGTCCTATTGGCTGGTGCCACCTTGCTTGTTATCCTGTCATACTTCAGCCATGGAGCATCTGATGATGATCCACTCTTAGATCCATTCAATAACCCAAATATTCGTATTGAGGCCGAGTAAGTTTGTAGGTGGTGGTGGTTTTCTGAATGGAGAAGTGTAGGTACACTAAAACTGCACCTCTGTTGGGACAGTTATTAGCCAAAAGTGTCCTTTCAGTGCTAATTTTTTTATGATTTTTAGTTGCTGTTATATGATAAACCAGAAAAAAATATTAGACATTTTGTAACTAAAGACCCATATTTTTTTTTCTTTCTTTTTTTTCTTTATCTTTTGTGTGGGGGGTGTCCTTCATAGAAATAAATACTTTAAGCCCAACTTGAAATTTTCTTAGACATGAGAGGCACAAATTTGTAAGTGGGTCTATTTTCTGGCCATTTATTGATAATAAGTAGGATGGGTTTTACATTTGATTTATGTATATTCATATTCTTTTCAATTTTGTTCAGCAGTTTTCACATCCCTTTGAGGGCTGAATTTTATTGTTTCAAATGTAACTATGCAGCTTCTTGTGGGAAAGTAAACTCACAACCAATCTTCCAGCACCTGTTTCCCTTTTGGAAGTAAATTTCACTGTAATTCTTTTGTAGGGAAAATTGCTATCATTAAGAAAGTTTCCAGATATATTTTATTAGATGTATCTTTAAACTAGTATAAAGTGCATTGATTTTACAGTTGAGTTATATTTTGGTTAATGTGTTGTTTTTATGTAATGTCAATGGAGATATATTGATATTGTTCATATTGTTTTGTGCTTATTATTGGTAGATCTGGTAAGTCTCCTAGTTTTGTTTTGGGGTTGGACAAAACAATATGAGGAAAATTATTACTCAATCATTATTGCATAAAAAAAGTTAAATATTTGCAGGGACCAGAGATTTTTCTTTTTCTTTTCTATTTCAAAGCTTTACATTAGACAGGTAGGTATTGGTGTAGAATCAACAATGATTAGAAGAAAATGTCTCATGTTCCACAAAGCACATATATGATAATGCCAATTGCTTCAGGAAATGTTGGCCAAAAATATACCTATAAGATCTTGCATAATTTTTTACTTTAGTTTTTCATAGATTTTTTTGAATGGTTGAGATAGGAGAGGAAGGGGGATAAAGTTGTCCCATTACTAAGGGGAATAGCAAGATACAATGTTGTAAAAGTAACAAATGCCAAGGAAACATAATGTATATTAACGGTAATGAATTATTTTGAATAAAACTGAAATTAAATTAACTGCCTTAATTTTTAGAAGAAAATCACTGGAGTACACTAAAACAATATTCCATAAGCAATACTGCAGAAAGGGTAGTCTGTCCTCTTTTTGTTTGCCCAATACCACCTAAGTTCATTCATTTGCAAGTGAGTTTTAAATTGAATATATCAATATAGAATCTCTTTACATACAACAAATGTGCTAGCTATCCAAAAGAATTTACTGAAGAGTTTGGATTGAATAAACCATTAGAGAGGTTTCTGAGACTGCATCATTTTGGCACATAGATACTGCTTGATGAAAATATATGATAGCCATCCATCAAAGTCATAGAGGTATATTTTCTCTTTTTAAGAATAATGCATTCATTCCTTGGATGATAAGTACAATGGAAGCAAGAACTTAGGGTGCTTTTCTCTCCCAATTGGAATCAAGTTCCTGAGTTTTATCTTTAAAAAAAATCTAAGAAAGGAGTGGTTTGATGAATGTTGAATTGCAATTCAAGTTGGCATATCTCCAGTTGAAAACCTTTTGTAAGCATAAAACCACTTCTATCCCAAGCTTTAGGTAATGATTGAGGAAGTGTGGATTAACCTTTTGAAGAAACACCTGGAAAATAGTGCTTTGTTTGTACAAAAATGCACATTAACTGGCATCTGAATGCAACAAAATCTTAGATATAAGGAAGTACAAGATAACAACTGTTTAAAGTGCATTTGATTGTCACTTCAAAGTTACTATCCTCAGGGTGCCCACAGTTTTTGTTTATGTTGTACTTTGTCCAAGTTTTCTTTTCTTTTCTTGATTTTCTTTTTTATTCTTCTTTTGATTCCTGAACTTCATCTTACCCTGTTCCTTCTTTTGTTTTTCTTTCTTTTCTTTCCTTCATTCCCTTTTCCATCTCCCTAAAAGTTGTCATCTGTACCTCCGATGTTTCATCATA